AAAAAAAATTACTGCTACAGCTTAGTGCAAATGATCCAAACCTTCATCGGTTTGGGTCGGCTCAATGTCTATCCTGAACCAAAACCCCGGCAAAACCCAATGAACCGGAAGCCCTTCAGTCCAAGCCCCGTCGTGGTGGCGGTTTGAATCCCATAGCAACCTCCTCGACTCCCTGCGATTTGGCACTGATTTCTCCACTTAAGTGAATCAGCGAAAATCTGTGTGTGTGACAAATTCAATCATTTCATTGCTGAAGATGTCTTACGGTGGTGCGGCAATGGGCGCGCCGGCGACGAGCGGCACGGGTTCGTCCTCAATAAAACAAGTGAAGTTGGAAAGGGAGAGCGAGCTCAGGATCGAGGTAGGAAACGACACCCCGCTTCGTCTCCGCCTCCTCAACGGTTCGGCTGAGATCTATGGCTCCGAGCTAGCTCCTGAAATCTGGCTGACCTTCCCTCCCCGTCTCAAATTCGCCGTAAGTTTCGGAATCCTTTGTTAGCAATTCGGGTGAATCTGTTATTCATGGATTCATCTGAGAAGATATTTGGTATTGAAGAAAAATCTCTTCTTTTATCAGGTTTTCACGTGGTATGGAGCTACCATCGAAATGGATGGCACTACTGAAACGGATTATACTGCAGATGAGGTTGTTCATTCTTCACGATTTAAATTTCTCCCAATGTATATTGAATGCTTGCTTTACCATAATGGAATTAAGTATGGCTTTGAGAAAGTTTTAAAGATTGCAAAGTGATGGAATTGATTGATTTCAGACACCTATGGTCAGTTATGTGAATGTGCATGCTGTACTAGATGGACGGAGGAGCCGTGCTAAAGCCTCATCGTCTACGGACTCTGATGCTTCTCAGGTACTGTGGTCTGTTAAGTTCATTGGAGTAAGCTTGCTTGGTTTGATTTGTACCTCAGTTTATACATGTTGGGTGTTGCAAAGTCTCAAACTTTAGTTATTTTGACTATCTGCTTTTCAAATTTTCCTTCTTTCCTTCTTTCCTTTATGTTTTGTATTTGCACAGGTTTTGGTTTCATTTCATGCATTTGTGAAGATTTTCATTTCATGCATGCTAAACATAATATTAGAAGACTATCTGGCTGCTTGTCTTCAATTAATTCATATTTGAATATGGTGAGTTGTGTGTTCCAGGGTCCTAGAGTGATGGTTGTTGGGCCTACAGATTCTGGAAAGAGTACCTTATCAAGGATGCTTCTTAGTTGGGCAGCTAAACAAGGTTGGAAACCCACCTTCGTGGACTTGGATATAGGTCAAGGATCTATAACCATTCCAGGATGTATTGCTGCAACACCTATTGAGTTGCCTATTGATCCAGTGGAAGGAATTCCACTTGAAATGCCTCTTGTTTACTTCTATGGGCACACAACTCCTAGGTAATGAGTTTTTCTTTTTCTGACCTTTGTGGAGTAACTCTTAATGTCACGATGCACTCTCCTTCTTTGATTCCCACATGTTAAACAACCTTCATGTGCTCTTGCTTTTTTGTAGATTTGAGTGCTTCAGTTACTAATTCTTTGAGTCTTATGATTTCTATCTGTTCTGTAGTAACAATGTAGATTTGTATAAAACACTTGTAAACGAGCTTGCTCAAATGTTGGAGACTCAATTTTCACGGAATGCTGAATCTCAAGCTGCAGGGATGGTAATTAATACAATGGGATGGATAGAAGGTACAGGATATGAGGTATCCATTTTGAACCTTCTGCCAGTTGAATTTTGATTACAATTTACAGTTGAATTTTTTAGTTTATTTCAAATTCATTTTTTGATATCTTTAATCTCCTCACAGTTGCTCCTACATGCAATCGACACATTCAAGGCCAATGTTGTCTTGGTTCTGGGTCAGGTAAATCAACAGTAGCTCCCATGTTATTTTATTTTTCTTTTTCTGTTTCTTTTTCTTTCTATTTATTGGTAAAACCAATTCTAACATGTGAGCATTTGTTAAAGGATCCTTTTTTTTCCTTGGATCATTTTGTCTATTGTTAAACCATACTTTGGGCTTGGAAATTGGATTTGGTAGATCATAATCCTCTGAAATTACTGAACTCAGAAATTGAGAGTTGTTGCAAGCAGGGAAGCTGGGGTTCACATTTACATAGATGATATTGGGTAGCAAAATCCATTGGTGAACAAACTAATTTTTGTCTTTCAAAAAATAAATAAATAAATAAACAAATTTTGTAAACTTTAACTTCATGCGTACATTCTTATTTTCCTGAATTTTGTCAACATTCCAAGTGTTACCTATGATATTACAATGGTTGGCAGTCATCATTCCGGTTCTTTGAAAATTTTCACTGATAGGGAATGCACCACTGAATCCAGCTCTTTTATACCATACTTTCATCTTGGCCAATACAGCTCCTTGAATGATTTTTACATTATGAAAATTGGTTTTATTTTTTTATTTTTTATTTGTTTTTTCTCCATTGCGAATCTGATTGGTTCCCTAAGACAATCTTTTTGAACTCGACAGGAAAAACTATTCAGCATGCTTAAGTCTGTAGCAAAAAGTAAGCCTAATGTGGATGTTGTGAAACTTCAAAAGTCAGGTGGTGTTGTATCCAGGAATGCGAAAGTCCGTCAGAAAGCCCGGAGTTATAGGATAAGGGTAAATGCAAACTTTATGACTACTTGCTAGATTTGTGTTGTTATTTTTATACAGTTTTTACCCCATGTTCCTTCCATCAGAAATTTATATTTTCATGATTTCACACTTGAGTCTTGTGTTTTCTTGGTCTTAAACAATCAGATGGCATTCTCATCATTTGCGTACCATTTGGAATGTAAATTGCTTTGATTACACAGTATACTCTGCCTTCTGATCATTTTACACGATACTTTTTGGTCTTTAAATTCTATTTTGCACATAGCCAATTGTTGTTGGTCAGAACTAGCTTTTCTCTAGTGGAAAGCAGTGTTTATGTTCATTCAGGCTCAAAGTCCCTGGTTTATATTCTGTGGTTCTATTTTATTATATGAATAGGGATCATAAGACTTGTGTGTAAGTAGATCCCTTCTCTTATTATATTATTATTTTTACTTTTGTGATCCATTTTCTGCCTTGCTGATGATGCTGTTCATGCCAAAAATTCTGCCAGGAATATTTTTATGGCCTCACAAACGACCTCTCCCCGCATTCCAATATTGCAAATTTCAGTGATCTGTTTGTGTACCGGATAGGTGGTGGTCCGCAGGCTCCAAGATCTGCACTGCCAATTGGTGCAGACCCTATTGCTAATCCTTTAAGAGTAACCCCAGTGAATATTGACCGGGATTTGCTTCATACAATACTTGCTGTTTCATATGCCAAGGAGCCTGACCAAATTTTATCAAGGTTATTGTCTACTCTGAATTTCTCACCAAATTAGCAATCAAATGAACTATTTTTATTGTCCGAGGAATTTTCTACTCTTTCTTTTGAGGTCTTGCTAATTATCAACTCTTTTTGATGCAGTAATGTTGCCGGTTTTATCTATATCACTGAAATTGACGTTCAAAGGTACGAGTGTCTATTTATTTTTCGTCATTACAGAAACAATTAGTGTACAAATGCTGGCTTTCCTTTTAAACTTCATTTTCCACTTTTCATTCTCAGCTGTAGTTAAACCTAACAATTTGCAGGAAGGTAGTTACATTTCTTGCGCCATCAGCTGGAGAACTACCTAGCAAATACTTGATTGCTGGCACTTTGACATGGCTTGAAACATGAAACATTATGGAAGCAAACACAGATGTTATCAGATTGCCCAGGATGACCTAATAGTAACTGTATGTCTTCTACTGAAGTGTGAACAGTATGGCAGCAAAACCCCTTGTTGTAATTTAACCATTTACTGTAACCTATGGCATTGGAGACTGATTTGTATGCCTTTCCTTTTCCTGTGTTTATAGTAACTCAGTTTACTAAAAAGTTAAATATGACTGAATTTTTCATATTAATTCGATACCTTGACAAGCTTAGAGCATATGATGAACGACATGAACTTACTTCAAACATTCAACTAGGTTTTTTCTAGGTTGAGAAGGGAGAGCAAAAATTCATCTAGTGGAGGTGCCATTGGCTGTGTGGAGGATGTGTGTTCACTTTGTATTGTATGCATGATGTTGCAACTTTGGTCCTTGTTGGCTCCTTTGTCTAAAAGCTTGTCCATCCATTAAAAGATAAATAGCATTATGGATATCACATCAAAATAAAACAGGTGACAAAACCTCCATTATGCATTTATGCTCTTCTACTTTCATTATTTTGATTAATATGAATAACTATTCAGTATGATGAAAACAGATGAGAAGTCAAACACAGAAACTGCAGTGGGATTTGGCTGTAGCAAGTCAACTCATCCCACAAATGTCTTACTCAATTATTTGCAAACTTGTAGTCTGCTGAATTTGACAATGTAACTCACTGGTTTGTTTTTTTAAGTGGACAAATCAGCACCATGTGAAAAAAGGAACGATAGAGTTTTCCTGATAGAAGCTACAAATTCAGCTCGTCCAACAACTTTTGATGACCATCCTGTAGCAAGATGTTAGAAGGCCTCCAGAACGTTAGAAGACATCTTTAAAAAAACAAAAAGAACTTAAATTAAGAGAGCACCAGCCTTGGAAAGAAAAATCGGCTACAGCTACCCTCTAAAATGAGTCTGGTTTAGGGTTGACTTCTAACCAAGTTGAAAACAACTAATGCTTACAAGATCAGCACTGATAGACCTAGGGGAGTCCTGAGGGGTCCCTGTCCTGCCTTAAACTTTTGAAAATTATTTAATATGATCATTAATTTTTATTTTTATTATTTTTACCTTTAAATTTTTATTTATTTCATACAATTCTAACCAAAATTTAAGGAATGATAAGAGTTTTACTAATAGAAGCTACAAATTCAGCTCATCCAACAACTTCTGATAAGAATTCACCTCCCCCCACCCCCTCAAAAAAAAAAAAAAAAAAAAAAAAAAAAAAAAAAACCCTGAGATGAGAGAAGGGCGTGTGCTTGTAGAATGTTATTCTTAGCAAATGTGTCTTCCTCTTAGTTTTAGGGTAGGGTTAGTAGAGTTGGTAATGAGTTTTGCTCCTACATTGCTGCACAAGTGTTTGAATATTTTTAAGGGCGCAAATAGGTATGCTTGTGAAGAGTTTCTCCACTTTAATGAAAGAGAAATTGAAACAAACACAATTTATTGTCAAGTGCTTGTAGCTTTTCTAGACAACTGCAAAGAAAAAGGACAATAAGAGCTCTAAGGTAGGTAGCAAAGAGGTAACTTCTTGCTAATTCCTTAATTCTTTTATGAATTGTCTGTTTTAAGTTTTAACTAGAGAAGAGTTTGGAACCAAAACTAAACTTGGTAGTTGCGCTAAAAGATCAAACCAACTTTTTCCTTGATTGAGTAATATGCTAACATACATTTCATTAATTAATAGTGATTCACATTTTAACATGACAAAATCAAGACTTTTTAATTCATAATAATCAAGTATATAATCATATGCTTATGTCTAATTATGTAATCATTTCAAGTGTAAGTGTCAATGTATACTAGTTTTATAGTATCTATTAGTTAAATTGAAAGTAACATGAATAAGAGAAATGACATGTGCATTTGGTATGAGCAACACTCATCTTCTCATTGGTCCCTTCAATTTTTGTTTTTATTGTTTATATTTTTAAATTTAAAAAAAAAATTACATTTGGACCAAAGAATGCACAAGTACTAGCTGCACTCATTATTTCTCTATAAGAGGAGTAACAATTTATAGTATAATTAAATTACCACTCTTTACTACGTAATCATGTTAGGTCAAGGTTAATTAGTCCAATTGTCTTAAAATACTTGCAAGTTGCAACCTTCCAAAATTCTAGTAATTTACTTCATTTTCTTTCAATGTTCTGTTAATTTTTTATGCTAGCAAATGTAAGAGCACGGATAATGTTAAATAATCATTATTTAAAAGACAAAACATGAGGTGAGCATAAAAATATTCATTTTGATAGGCAAGATTACTGATAATTATTGTAGGCTCTTTTTTTTTTTTAT